TGTCGTCTGTTTTCACCTGCTTTCGTCTGTTGTCGTGTGTGCAGGTGCTGGAGCTGCTCAGGAGACGAGGGGGATGTTCTGAGGAGACCTTCGACTCGATGGGTCTCCTGCAGACGCTCTGCCTGGTGAAGCTGGACGGAGTCGACGGGAAGAAAAGCGCTGCAGGAAAACCCGACTTCGCTGCTGAAGCTGCAAACAACAGCTGGACGGGAACCGAGATGAAAGGTGAGATTCGACTATTGCTTGGAAGCACTTGATGTCTTCGATCCTGCTATTAGCAAATTAACCTTTTCATGTATAATCATCAAATGTGATCAAAGTTTCTCCCAGAATCAGCTGATCTCCTGTTTTTGTTCTGTAGAAGCTTTAATCTCAGTTTCTGTTGTATTCACTGCGGACTCATTTATTTCTGAGTTTAACAGATCTTATCTGTCATTCAACAAAACAGAGAAGATCTGAGAAACAACTTTATATTGTTTAATAAAATGTTAAAAATGTTCACCTTTACATCACCTCTCGAAGCAGCCATGCTAGCTGCTTTCATGCTAAGCTAAGCAACTGTTGGCTCCAGGTTTGTTAACGACTGTTGCTCAGATTTCTGAATCATTCGGTAACGTTCAGTATTTGTTGATTTTCAGAGTTCGCTCCGCTGCTGACAGGAAGTGGTGATGTCACCGGAAGCGGAGCCAGTGAGGGAGCAGCCGCCCGGCAGCGAGCGATTTGATTGGCTGAAACACGACTTACTGCGATTGTAGATTCAATAACAAAGGACGACAAAGTTTCAGCTTGGATCTGTGGATTTGAGAGTTTTAGTACAAAGCAGCAGCTGATGAATGTTCAGAATCATTCGATGGTTTTTAGATGATTAAAACGCTGCAGCTGGTGTCTCTGAATCACCTGCATTCACTGATCATTCAACAGACGGTCGTGAAGCAGCTTCTCTCCTGACTGGGATCAAACAGAACTGAACCCTGAACCAGACATTTGGGTCATTTCATTAACAGTCCACCAGTCCTTCACCTGATGCTCAGAATCAGCTGGTTCTGGAGCAGCTTGGTTCAGCTTTGGTAGATTTTTATATGACATGACGTTTCTTATCTCCTGCCTGCTTGCTGTTTCTGTTGGAGCTGTTTAAAACCAGCTCAGTGTCTCGTTTTTTGGCTGCCGGAACCTTTTGGGATCTTTTGTTGGTGTTTGCAGTCAAATGTACATTTTCTACGGAGGAACAAACCAGCGACTGAAAGTAAAGAACAAGTTCACTTTAAATTCACGATACATTGTGAAACTGTCTAAGTAGCTTTGGTGTGTTTCTGTGGGAACAGGTTTCACACTTCAGGCCTGTGGAGGAGACGACTGGATGGTTCTGTGTGATTCTGAGCTTTAAGCAGCTGAACCATGAAGCCCAGCTCAGACGTCGTTCAGGATGTTTCTGTTCTTCTTACTTGATTCATTTATTACAGAAATGAAGGGTTTTTCAGGTACGATCGCATGAAGCTTTCAGTTATCGTCGCCTTTATCTGATTTTTATAAAAAGGCACGGAGTTGTCCGAGTTTATCGAACTGACCTGAGTGTTGACCAGGAAACAGGCGATCCAGCGATGACTCCAGTTTACATCATCATCTACTTAAATCTCAGGGATGAAAACGTTTAACGTGGACCTGCTCACGTCTTCTCTTTGCTTTATGTTCGTGTTTTTACAAACTTCTGTTGTTTTTCTTCTGAACGCTGAGTGTGTGTGTCTCCAGACAAACTTAGTCGCGTTGCTGCCTTTTGTATTTTGTATTATTGTTTCTGGGCTTTTTCTGCCTGTGTTGGACGGGATCGAGTAGCGAGACGGAGAGACGTGGGAGAAGAGTCGGGGAAGGATGTGCAGCACCGAGCCGCTGGCTGGACCGGACCATGCGGCGCTGAATCGGTGACCGTAGCCCTGTTCACGGGTCACCTTCTGTCCAGTTGAGCTGCCGGGGCGGCCTGTGTACTGGATTTATGAAGTTTGTTAAAAAGCTGCCTGATTACTGACTGCTTCATACAAATACAGGTTTTTGATGTTTCTTCAGGGCGAACATGTAAAGTCATACTTTTTTCTTTGATTTTATTAAATATTGTCTGTAGTTTAACAAAACAGGAACAAAACAATCAGTAAAATGTCACGAAATTAAACTGTTGAAAATGTTCATTTTTCCAGTGTGACACTAATTATGGTGCAGATTTGTCAGTGATTTAAAAAAAAAAAAAAAA